TGGTGGTGATGATGGTGATGGTGATGGTGATGATGGTGATGATGACGGTGATGATGTTGGTGATGATGGTGATGATGGTGATGGTGATGGTGATGGTCATGATGATGATGATGGTGGTGGTGATGATGATGATGGTGATGGTGATGATGATGATGATGATGAGGAGGAGGAGGATGATGATGATGATGATGACGGTGATGATGATGATGCTGATGAGGAGGATGAGGATGAGGATGAGGATGAGGATGATGATGATGATGAGGATGAGGATGATGATGATGATGGTGATGGTGATGATGATGGTGGTGATGATGGTGATGGTGATGGTGATGATGGTGATGATGACGGTGATGATGTTGGTGATGATGGTGATGATGGTGATGATGGTGATGGTGATGATGATGATGATGATGGTGGTGGTGATGATGATGATGATGATGGTGATGGTGATGGTGATGATGATGATGATGATGATGATGATGATGAGGATGACGAGGAGGAGGGGTGACTCGGCTCACGCGCGGCAGGCTCGTAATGTCGAGACGTCTGCCCCAGTTCACGCTACCGTGCAGATCGTTCCAACTTGAGCGATCGCGGCCTCCCGATGGCGCAGATCCTCTCGTGTCGGCCGACTCCGGGCCGCAGGCGGCGGCCGACCTCGAGAGCGCCAGCCCCATGGCCGCCGCCGCGCCGACACAACACGGGCCTACCGTAGCTGATTCCTACGGCGTCTCCCTGCGCCGGAGGCGCCCAGTGCATCGAGGAAAGCGCCCAGCGGAGGGGGCGAAACCAGCTGCGTGCAGCAGGTTTCGTACCGCTCCCTTTCCCTACTCTCCCCCCCCTTGTTCAGCCAGACGCGGCAAAAGGGGCCCTGGAAGCTTTCGAAACGCTCGGGCCCCAGGGGCCGTCCAAAGACGGCGCGTGATGAGGAGCTGGATTTGGGGGAACCCCGTTTCCCTCGTGGCCTCCGTCCTCTCGCTTTCCCCCTCCGCCGCCGCCCGTCTTCTCGTCGTCTTCTCGTCTCCCCCGTCCCCTCGTCGCCTCCGTGGGCCCCCAGCCCCAGCGCATCCCGCTGGCTAACCCCTAGCCCAGCGTGCGCTCGCCCTCGTCGCCGCCGACACGCACAGAGAGATCCCCCGGCGCCCCTCTCCCGGATGGCCCGCTGCCCTCGTGAGCCTCCTGGACCCCGTGGCGCGGGCCCCTCAGGGAAGAAACCCCGCTTTCCCCCCTCAGGGGCGATCCCCCCGCCGCCCTGGTGGCCCGGCCCCTTGCGGCCCGCGCCCCTCGGGGGAGAGTCCCTGCTGTTCTCGTGGCCGGCTCCCCTTGGGGCCCGCTTCCCTCCTCGCGGCCCGTGTCCCTCAAGGTGACCCCCCCCCCGTTGCCCTCGTGGCCCGCTTCCTTCGTGGCCCGCTCCCCTCGTGGCTGGTGCCCCTCGAGGGAAACGCCTGTTGCCCTCGTGGCCCGCCCGATTTCTTCGTGGCCCGTGTCCCTCAAGGGAACCGCCCCTGTTGTCCTCGCGGCCCACTTCCCTTCCTGGCCCGCGCCCCTCAAGGGACCACCTGTTGCTCTCCTGGCCCGCTTCCCTCGTGGTCCGTGCCCCTCAAAAGGAATCACGGTTTGCCGTCGTGGCCCAATTCCGTCGTGGTCCGTGTCGCTCGGGGGGAGCCATGTTGCCCTCGTGGCCGGCTTCCCTCGTGGCCCGTGCCTCTCGGGGGAGAACCCCTGCTGCCCTCGTGGCCCGCTTTCCTCGTGGCCCCAGGCCCTCACTGAACCCCCCGTCGCCTCGCGGCCCGCATCCCTCGTGGCCCGCGCCCCTCAGGGGCCGCTTCCATCGGGGCCCCTTCCCTTCGGGTCCTGAGTTGGGTCGGGCATGTCCCCTGCAGCCGGACTTTGGACGAAACAGTAAACGATACGCCAACCATGCTCGAACATAGTAAACAAGAATCCAGAAAAAATTCGTCCCCCGACTGTTCGTTGACTGCTCTTGACAATGTTCCTCCTGTAGAGGGACACGCCCGACGAAAGTCCAGAGCCCGACGCCCTCGGGACCCGCCTCCCGCGCGGCGGGCCCGTGCGCGGGCCGCCGCGGGGGGGAGGGCGTCCTGCTGGCCGGGGGGCGGCGGCAGGTCCTGGGGCCGGCGCGCGCGGCGGCCGCGGCGGCAGGCGAGGACCGTCGGTGGACGCCTGGGCCTCCTCGACCCTCGACGCCCTCCCCTCCCCTCCCCCCTCTCTCTCTCTCACTATCTCTTCCCCTCTCTCTCTCTCACTATCTCTTCCCCTCTCTCTCACTATCTCTTCCCCTCTCTCTCTCTCACTATCTCTTCCCCTCTCTCTCTCACTGTCTCTTTCCGTCTCTCTTTCTCTCTACCACGAGCGCGACGACGACGGCGGCGGCGGCGGCGTCGGTGACGACAACGACGACGACGACGACGACCACCACGACGACGGCGGCGGCGCCAGTGACCACCAGAGCAAAACGCTGCCTCCCACTGGTGGAAGTGCCAGTGGGCGTGCCCCCTTTCTAAAACGAGGGCCCTCTGAGCTTGACATGCAGGCGAGAACATCGTGTTGAAGACGCCTCCGCGGCTATCCTTCTAGCTATCTGCCATCGTGCTCCCATGGCGAGTGTGATAATGTTTTGTTGTCGTATGGCACGGTTTCTGTCGTGTTCCTCTTGCCAGTTCCCCGCCGTCGACACACGCGTCATAAGAACAACGGCCCTGTGGATTTGCTCTCCAGAACTCGTTTCGGGTCCCAGGCGGCTCCAATACAACCAACCACTGCCCCAGCGAGAAGGCGCTAAGCCGCACCAAGGCCACCCGAAGACTGCCCAATGAGCCTCATCCGACTCAAACACCGTCCAGACAGTGTCAAACAAGCCCCAGGAAAGCTCCAGGAGGCGCTGAAGCAGGGTAAACGAGCATCGAGCAGCTGGCAAGACATTTACATGTTTTTGTTCCCGAGGTGCGTCGGTCCCAGATCCCGTGTGAAATCCAAGTAGCCCTCTTGGTGTAGGTGGTGTAACGATATTTTTTCTCTCCGCGTCCCCTAAAACCCTCTTCCCTTCGGGGAGGGGTGCTCTCCCCATCCCTTCCCTGAGGTGTTTTGATGGGCTCGGCGTGGGGCGATCAGGGCGCCCGAGATGGCTCCAAGAAGGCGTCCGATACTCCAAGGGCCTCCAACATGGCTCAAGACAACCGGAGATGGCTCAATGCTGTTTCCAACATGCTTAAAGATGCTCCAAATACCGCTCCAAGACTGTTCCAAGTGCCCTCGGAGCCCCCCAAGATCCCCCGAAGAGGCCAACGTCCTTCAAACACTCAAGGCCTATGAATGGTGCTCATCTTCTCGCCTTTTCCGCTTGCGATGCGCGTTTGAGGCCTCGAGATGGCCCCGAAGTGACCCAAACGCGCCCCAAGGCGGGCCCAACATGCCCCGCACACGGCCCCAAAAGCGCCCCGAGAGATGGTTTAGAGGGCTCTTGAGGAGGGGCCTAGATAAGGGACCCCCCCGTTTCATCGATTGCCTCCAAGATGGCCCCAAGAGGCCTTCCAGGACTCCCAAGAGGCCATCAAGTGGGCCCCACAACCCTTCAAAAGAGCCCCAAGAGGGCCCCACTTCCCCCCAAAAGAAACTCAAGAGGGCCCCGGCTAAGACCCAAGAGGACTCCAAGAGGGCCTCAAGAAGACCCAAAGATGGCTGCCAGAGTCCTCGTCCTCATCCTCCTCGTCCTCGATCTCCTCATCCTCGTCATCTTCTCCTCCTCCTCCTCCTCCTCCACCTCCTCCTCCTCCTCCTCCTCCTCCTCCTCCTCCTCATCCTTTTATTCATTGTCCTTGTTCTCGTCCTCGTCCTCCTCCTCGCCCTCGTCCTTTTCGTCTGTGTTCACCATGTTTGCCAGCGCTGGTTCGCCATAGGTCTCTCTTCTTCCCATGTCCCGTCAGCTCTCATGGACAGCGTCTCTGGATGGGTTGGTGGGGAAACTTTTTGTCGCGGCTGCGGCGAACGTGCCAGCAGCATCGGTGGAGTCGTTCAAGCCGTAGGCGCCTTAATTGCCCGCGCGCGCGCCGAGCAGGCTAGCAAACCTATCGCCGGGGGGGTGCGGCGCCGAGGCAGAGCTGCGCCAGGGTGTGGAAGCTGCCAGCTGCGGGGGCGGCTGGGGGGATGCAGCGTGCGAGTACCATGGGAGCGAGATCACCAAGCACGAGAATTAGGCCTTGTCGCCACAGGGCGCCAAGGGCACGATGAAAGAACCGTCAAGGGACTGGTGGGGATACTTCTTGTTCGCAACCGCAAGCGGGAGAGCCGCGCGATGTCGTAGAATCGTGCGGAGGCCTAAAATACGGCCGGGACCGAAGCCAGGCGCCACAGCGGGCGAGCGCCGAAAATTGCAAGCGAAGCGGCGGGCAAACTGGTGGGGATATTTTTTTGGTCAACAGGCTCGCGAGGCGGGCCGAAAGCCGTCCGAACACTAGTCGGGCCGCGACACTGGTGGGGATACTTTTTTTTGGTCGCGGCCACGAGCGAAGAGCACACGCGGCGAAAGCAAATGTCGGGGGCAGCGAACAAGGCTGATTCGCTACAAGACGCGCCGCTAGCCGGCCGGCCCACTCACCAAGCAGCCGCGGGGCCGCGGGGTAGCTGACAAAACTGGTGGGGATACTTTTTTGGTTCGCGGCTCCAAGGCGAGGGACAGGGAGCGGGCACAACGTCCGGGGCGCGGTACGATGTAAATTGGCCGCAATGGCGTATGCACATGCCAGGGACAAAATGCCCCTCGTTGAGACGCAAGACAGCGACGGCAGGTGACCGGCCCAGACATCCCGGCAGGTGGGGAAGCAAAGGCGCGGCGACCGGCAGCGGAACGGGGGGGAGAAGTCGCCCTTGCGGCGCCAAGCTCCAGCCGAACCACATTCGGAAGCGAGGCCAAGACGGACAGCGGGGCACTGTGAAGCCGCAAGCAGAACGCGGATCCGAATGGCCAATGACCAAGCGAAGCCCACGTGCGTACACACAGGGACAGGCCGTCCGAGACCTCGGAAAAGAGAGGGGGGAGAGTGCGAGCGCGAGCGACTAACTCAGACTCACTGCAGCACCCCGGGTAAACGATGGTGCGGCGAAAGAGGCCTGACTCATCAAGGCTCACTGAAGCTGAGGTGTGGCTGATCCGCGTCAGAGCGCCATCCAGTAGAAAGACCACTGGTGTGCGCTCACGAGGCTGAGCCACCTCCAGCCGGTAGCCAGTGCGTGCACATCGTATCCGACTCACGCAGTTCGGGGGCACAGCGATGCAATGTACTGACGGTGGGGATACGCGAAGCGTGAAGAATTCAGTGAGCCCGAGCGATCCTCCAAACCAATCCACAGCATGTCCCCAGGAAGCGCTCCAGGACAGCACTGAGAGCGCACCCGTCGGCTTCCAGACGGCAGAAACAGCCGCAAGACGCCCCAAGACCATCCCAGGACGGCCCAACGAGCCTCCCTTCAGGCCCAAGATCCCCCTCAACATGCTCCACGAGGCCCCCCAGAAACCCTCCAGAAGTCGTCCGAAGAGGGCTCCAACGAGGCCACCGGATGCCAAACGCACTGTTAGCTTTGCGCGAGTAGCACAAAACACAAGCCATGTGCGCTTTTTCCAAAACTTCAGATCGACCCAAGCGGCATCCAAGACTGCCCAACACTGCTCCAAGAAAGCCCCCATAATTACGGACACATGACTACCCGGTACGCGCGCAGGACTGCTCAAGAGGGCTCCAAGAGGGCCCCAAGACCGGCCCAAACGCAACCCCAAGACGGCCCAACCGAGCCTATTCGGGATAGCCCGACGTCGCCAGCGTGCCCAAGACGGCCCAGGACCTCCGACGGGGCTTCAACGAGTCCCCGAGAGGCACTCCAGAAGGCCGAAGAGGCCCCCGAGGCCCCGAAGAAGCTTTCAAGGTGCATTCAAAATGGGAGGGTGGATGATGGGCAGTGGAGGAGGAATGATCAAGGGAAAGAAAAGAACTGCGGACAAGCAGTGGTGTTCACGACCCGCACCGGTTCTCGCAGAGCGCTGAAATGAGGGGTCTGAAACTCACCCTCCTTGCTGCTGCGTTGGCGTGGTGGCACGGAGGCGGGGTCTGCCGCCGGCAGCCTGAGGAGGCATGCACGAGAGGCGGCCCCACGAGCCGGCGGGGCGCCATGCGAGAGCTCCGCGGCGAGCACGTGGGGCCGCCCTCGACCCGCGCCGCTGGTGCGCGGGCGCGAGGCGCTGCTGGTCTTCGGGGCCCCGCTCCCCACGGCTGCCTCGCACATGCGCTCGGGGTGCCGTGCCGTCGGGGCGGCGGCCCGCTCGCGCAGGCGAGCGCACCTCCATCGCAGGATCGACCGCCCTGTTGTGGCCCCGACGCCGAGGCGAGGGAGACCCAGGAGGAGGAGGAGGAGGAGGAGGAGGAGGAGGAGGAGGAGGAGGAGGAGGAGGAGGAGGAGGAGGGCCCACTGGCCCGCCGCGCGCGCGCGCGCCCCACTGCCCTCTGCCCTCCCCGCTCCCGCTCCCCTCCGTGCCCATTCTCCTCCGCGCGTCTCCTCTTGAGCAGCCGCCCGACCGTCCGGGTAGCCCTGTGGGCCCACCACGACGTGCTCCTGGAGCAAGGCGAATACTTTCGTACGGAAAAGCCGAGTTCCAGCGCACTCGAGCCTTCCGTTTCCCCGAGTGTTCTGGAACCTGTGTTTAGCTTCGGGCAAGCCCTCCCCCCCCCTCTCGCCCCTCTTCGAACGAACACGAGCGCGCAAGTGCCTTTCGACGTGCGTGATTTCCGCACGTCGAATCCTCTGTGGCTTGCTTCAAGCTCAGGCTCCCCCCCCTCCGGTCCATGCGAATACACTTGCCGGAGTCTAAACAAACAGGCTCTCGTCCCCAAGCGCCGGCAGGCCCGAGCTCCAGCGCACTCGAGCCTTGCGCTGCCCCGAGCGTCCTGGCGGGTCCTGGCGGGGCCCCCGGCCCTGGACCCCGAGGGCCCCCCCTTCCTTGGACGAGGGGGCCCGGGGATCACTGCACAGACCAACAGCCACACACACCCCAGGAGCCCCCATGCCTCCCCATGTGTTCTGGGGCTTCGCCTTCCCCCCCCCCCACCTCCCATGCTTCCCTGTGTATTTTCCTGTCGGCTACGCGCAGGAGTGACCCTGGGTAAGAGTGACCTCTGGTGCGCGGCTTTGGGGGGGCCGCGGGGGGACCAACCACGGGCGCGCAAGACGCTGCTATCGCATCGTGTTCGGCGACTCGGGGGCCCCACTGGGCCCGCACCAGAGGTCACTCCGGCGAAGGGTCACCCTTACGTGTAGTCGACCCTGGGAGCCGACGATCCCTTGCGCCTGTCTCCTCTCTGGAGCCCAGGGCGCTGCTCCGTGGCGCCGCGCCGCCCACGGCGGCCCCTCCCCCCTGCGCTCCTCGGGGCGCGCCCGCCTCCCTTGGGAGGCCTGCCCTTCTTCTAGTCTTGTTGCGAGTGCCTCTCGGCGAGCGGGGCAGGCCAGGACGCGTCGCCGCGGCTCGCTGCCCCCTTGGCTCGCCGCCGCTCGGCCGTCCCTCCCCCGCGCATGTTTCGGCGTCGTGCGCGGACTTCTTCGCGAGATGGGCCAGGAGGCTCCTCGACGGTCCTCGACGGGAAAAAACGCACATGTCCGAGCGATGCCGAGCAATGACGAAGCCAGAACGAGGAGAACATCGGGTGAGGATAGAATTGGGGATCTCCGAGACCTGACGGCTCTGAAGGATGCATCGGGCGCCGCGGCCTTCTCAGAGCGGTTGAGGAGTGTTTAGGAGCGCTCTGGAACGGAGTTGTCTTCGTCCCAGCCACGCCCGCGAGCTCCCCCCCTCCTCCCCACCGGGCGACCTGGGCACAGGCGGACGGGGCCAGGATGGGTGGGGAAGGGGCGCCCCTCCTCATGCCGGACGGCTTACGACACGGGCGAGCTGCAGCGCTCCCTC